TTTTGTCTTTTTGAGACAGGGTCTCCCTGTAGCCCCAGTTGGTCTGGAACTCACTATGTAGACCAGGCTGGCCTCGAACTCACAAAGAGCCGCCTCCCTCTGCCTCCCGAGTGCTGGGATTAAAGGCATGCACCACCACGTCCGGCCCAATATTTGATTTTTTTAAACCCAAAAAGTCTATCAAGTAGATTTAGTACCCAGTAATGTTTAAACACTAAATTAGATAGCATATTAAGGTACTCCATGGTCCCTCACACATGGTCAAAAACAGACAAATGGCTTATTATTAATTAAGTTTGTCACTAGAATGTTTGCCCTAGGATTCACCTGTACACCTTTTCTTTCCTCCACCCAGGACATGAAAATATATATATATGCCGGGCGTGGTGGTGCACGCCTTTAATCCCAGACACTCGGCAGGCAGAGGCGGGCGGATCTCTGTGAGTTCAAGGCCAGCCTGCTCTCCATAGTGAGTTCCAGGACAGCTGGGGCTACAGGGATACCTTGTCTCAAAAAGACAAAAAATAAAATAAAATTCATATATATATATATTCAAAACTAGCAGTCCTAATTTACAGTATTCAAAATAAGCTGAGTGTACAAAAGGCATTAACATATAAACTATTATTTTATTTTGGAACATAATGGATGCTAAAAATAAGCTTCAACAAGAGCCAATCACTAAAAACAAGCTCAAAGTGTAATCTGGGGCAGCAAATGGGTATGCTATCATCTCTACTACAAGGACGATAGCAAGCTGGCAGAGCTACTCTGATTCCTACACATTGCATCTACACAAATGACAGAACCATCCACTCGTCATGAGCTACGATGAGTGCTTCATAATTCCTATAAAAGCAGGAAGCAGAAGCGGGCTAAGAGATGGCTTAGTGGTTAAGAGTACCTGCTGCTCTTTCAGAGGACCCAAGTTTGTTTCCCAGCACCAAGTTTGGTTTGGCAGCTCATGACTGTCTATAACTCCAGTTCCAGGGACTCCAACACCCTCTTCCTGCATGGGCACTCAATACACATGGCGCACTTACACACATGTAAGCAAAACACTCATACACATAAATTAAAAAACAGAAACAAGGGACTAATTTACCTTCTATAGGCACAGTGGTCCAATAGCAATGGAGACAGCAGCATGATGGGAAATAGCCATGAAAACAAAAAGAAAACACAACTATAACACACACAGTACATACATATAAGTGGGACATAGGCAATACTAACCACCTCTCCCCACAAAACATTAGCTGAAGAATATATGATCTGAGGAAAGTGAACAACTTTTATCATTTCGAGAGGCTACAGTTTGACCAGCCACATACTGTTTAGGACTGGGGCAAGTAGCTCAGTCAATAAAGTACTTGCCAGGCAAGCATAAAAGACCACAGTTCACACCCTACCTAGAACCCATCAGTGAAAAAGGCAGGCATGGTAGTCTGGTGCTGGTAATCCAGGTGCTGGGGACAAAGAGAGAGGCAGATCCCTGAGGCCCACTAATCATTCAGCCTGTCTGATCAGTAAGTACTAGGTCTCAGCCCGAGACCCTTTCAAAAAAACAATACATAACAAAACAAAACAACAAAGTTGATGGCACCTATAGAATGACATCAAGGCTGTCCTCTGGTACACGAATATGTACAGGTATAGGTAAGTACGTACACACACGTGTATACACACACACAAATATGTGCATGCCCCCTCAACCCCATTTACAAAACACTGTTCTGAGTCCCAGGAAGGGACAACAATGTTATATTCTCCCCCCTTCCTCAAATTAAAAAGGAAAAAAAAAGGTTGGAATAAGCGTGGGAGAAGGATTTTAAAGACAGCTGGCAATTTTCATGTTCCTAATTCCTTCTGTGTTTCTAACTTGTTGATCCTCCAGGAAAACTACATTATAACATAAAAATCAAGGTCAATCCAAAATTGATATATCTGTATCCTGAATGGACTAATCAGTCAGGTGTGGTGGTATGTGCCTGTAATTCTAGCATTTGAGAGGTGGAAACAGGAAGATCAGGAGTTCAAAGCCAGCCAGAGCTATATAGCTATACTGCCTGAGCTGCTTGAGACTCTGTCTCCAAAAACAAACAAAAAGAATGGCTAAATCAGTGTGTAGCTGGAGGGCTTAATGCTACTGAAATTACCCTTCTTGGATCCTAAAGGAAAGGATTTCAGTAGTATGGCAGAGAGAAAGGGTAGTTTTAGACACAGAATTTGGGCTTGTTCCTTCTCTGTTACTGAACTTGTAAAACAAGAGTGTAAAAGAAGCCAGGGCTACAAAGTGAGACCCTGTCTCCCCTTCCCCACCCCCAAAAGTATAGAAGACAAAGTATATCTCATTATTAAACACACACACACACACACACACACACACAAAAACAAAAAACAAAAAAACTAACTTTAGCTCTAGGCCAAGATCTAGGTGAGGGTAAGAAGGACTGTGAAAGGCAGTTTATTTCTAATGAAAATAAATGGATGTCATCCACTCCCACTTTTCACTCAGGCTACACAACATTACCATCAGATACCCAGTTGCAGATAAACCAACAGGTAGACTTACTACAACATTATCAAAAACAGACACGTGTCCTGTGAAATCCTCATGCTATGCAACAAGAGCAATACAAACCTCATTTCCTTCAGTCCTTCTGCCTCTATGACCTGCAGAATCTGTTTTGGTGTCATTGGCGCGTCCGAGTAGTTTTCTAATACCTGAAGAAACATAAATGTCCTGACTTCAGTGTGCAACTTCCATTTATATCTGATAGCAATCTATACCATGGTCTACAGTTCTGCTATGAGATACTGCCAGTGAAAAGCTGAGATTTACCACTGTTAAAATTATTTTGGGGCTGGGGATGTGGCTCAGTGGTAGCAATGCAGGGCTCAGAGTTTCAACCCTAGCATGGCATTTGAAAAATTAACTATTTGGGCATAGTGGCTCATGCCTTTACTCCCAGAATTCAGGAGGCAGAGGCAGACAGATCTCTATGAGACCAAGGCCAGCCTGGTCCCCATGCCGAGTTCGAGGCCAGCTGGGGCTACAGGGAGAGCCTGACTCAAAAAAAAAAAAAAAAAAAAAAAACCAACAAACTACAGATACCAAATCACCGTCTCATCAATATACTGAAACTTAGTGAAATTAGACGAAAATACCACATTAGGTTCCAATTCTCAATTCTAAGGACAGATACCTTCTTAACATAAATGTAATAGTATAAGGCCTTAGCAGCTCCAGTAACAGCCGATTTTAACACTGCAGCACAACACTTAAGACAAAAATTCATTCAGATTTTCTTTCCCATGAAAGTGTTGGTATAGCATTAATCCCAGTAATTGGAAGGCACAGACGGGCAGATCTCTGTGAGTTCGAGGCCATCCTGGCCTACATAGTGAGTTCTATACCAGCCAGGCATCGGATCCCCTGGAACAGGAGTTATGGTTGGTTGTTACCCACCATGTGGGTGCTAGGAACTGAACCTGGGTCCTCTGCACAGTCAATGCTCTTAATCACTGAGCCAGCTCTCTGGCCCCCACCTTAAACTCCTGACCCTACTATCTCCACCTCCTGAGATTACAGTCCTGCGCCATGTCTGGCTTCAGCTCTTTTCCACTGTACTATGAAATTCTGGTGTTAAATGCCACAGTACACATGCCATCTGACAACATGACACTATGATTCAGAGTGACTAGCACATGCAAAATAAGGAGAAATCTAATGTCCTACTTAAGTTAGTTCATCTATCACCAAGACTCCACAGTACTTTCTTGGCAAACAACTGCGATTCTTACAGTCTAAGAAGTTGAGTTGTTTTAGAAACATTCCTCTTCTGAGGAAGGGAAAAAAAAAAAAAAGAAAGACATAATCATTATCTTCTTAACTTCCTACACCTGAGCAGCTGCTGCGGCTACTCCAGGCTGACAGTCCTAGCACCCAAAGACTCCCTGCCATCAATAAAATGTGAAGCAGGAGTTTCAAAAGGAATGCTGCAGATGCCCTTATCACTGAAGGAAATCAAGGTTTGGAGACTTTCAATGTCTCATCCTTAACCTCTCTCTCTTCAATTTTTAAACACTGCCCTTGGATAATCTGTGATAATTACTACTACTGCTACAAATTCTGATCCTACCTACCTCTACCTGGCTCTCCCTGGACTTCAAGTTCAAGCAGCTTGTATGACACATCACCATGACTGTATTCTGAACTCTTCCTACTCTAACTCACCTCATACACAACTCCAGTTGTCTCCAGTCCTCCGGCCCCTACATTCTCTACCTCAGTTGGCTCTTGCAGCCTTACTAACCCTCTAGTTGCACACAAGCCAGCAGGCAGGCTACACCTACAGGTGAAATCATCAGCAACAGTTCCTGTTTAGGACCCTAAACCTTTCTGTCCCAAGCTGGACCACAGCATGGGGCTGGATTTTGTGGAAAACAGTCTGGCTCTATAGTCAGCTGCTAGACGACCCCATTTTGTGGTGGGAAATGTTAAATTCTCCCCACGAGTGAGAGGTAAGAGCGGGTCTGTGGGCTGGGGTCTTGGGGATGACAAGGAACAGCAAGCATGCCCTGCGAAGATGAACACGTTATCTGGGTCTCTAAAGAGACCACCACGAGAAAGGTACCGGGATTCTAAGGGTCGGAGGACCGGGTTGAAGACACAAGTGAGTTCTCTGAATTTCAAGAGGGTAAAGAAATGGGACCCTCCAGGTGGAGTATGTGTCGAGTTTTGAAGAGTATGGTCACTGGGGCGCGAACTACAGGCTGGGGCTTATTTGGGTTCTTCAGACGCAGGTACTTGAGGGACGCCTCCAAGTAAGCTTAAGAAAGTCTGGAAAATGAAAGGGAGAGGGCGAAGAGCGGACTATTTGGCGCAGGAAAAGGGGATTATGTGGGTCGGGGTAGGCGCGTCTGAGAAGCGAGCAGGTGCAGCTTATCTATGCCCCCCAGACCCGGATCCCTCGTTAAGTTCCGCAGCGTGTTATCTGTGTCTCCAGGGAGTCGGGGAGAGGGGGGCGGGGGTTGAGGGACCCTCGGGGCTGCGATTCCAGTTCGAGGAAGGGAGGGGCCGGGAAGGTTAGTTCGTGTCCCCCAGGCACAGGGATGCGGTCCGGGGACTGCTTCCGTCACCCCAGGGGCCTATCCGGGCC